TTCTTAGTTGGTAGTGATGTACAAGGAATTTACGGAGATGCCTCAACGTTGGAGGGTTTAACAATGTTGTAAGTGATCAGGTATTCTGGACAGGCCTGTAAACAACAAAGGAAACAAGGACGTAGTGAGTCAGATAATTAACCAAATGGCACATCGACTTTTTAAAAAGACAATTGCATCATATTATTATAACCACATGCTGTATTTGTATTTTCTTAAATAGCACAAATCAACAAGCTTAGCTACAACCGAGCTGGACTTTCTGCACTCTTGGACAGTGGTTTTGCCCAAATTGTAACGCAGATCGTCCCTATAACAGTGAACACACTTAGCAGAATAGAAATTTGATAGCGTCTGTCCAGGTATATTAAAAGGGAAAAGGACTCACTTCCGGTTGACGTGTGTCGCGCAAAATGTTTATGCTTTATGTCAGTGGAGCGCCTGTCCCCCGCGGACAACACTGAAACCCTCAAACATAAAGGAAATTACGAATTTCTCACGAAAGACGACTTTGATACGTCCACAAAGTAGCAAGCCTCATGGTGCAGGGTTCGGACGTTGTGAAGATTCTGTTGCATGTAAATTTACCTTTTGTCAATCTGGCTAAAAAATGTAGGCCAAAGTCACACCCAATACCAGGCGTAGTCAATATAAAAAACCGATAATCGATATCAATCGATAACAATCGAAGATTGATTTCGATTTCCGATACCAATCGATAGAAATCGATAAAGAAATGAAGTTGTGAGTTCGATTGATATCGATTTCCGATAGATATCGATAACGATTGATTTATGGAATGTTATCGATTATTATCGATTGTTATCGGAAAAGATTGTTGTCGTTTTACAAGTTAATCATCGACACAATGTTGTCTCTATGGTTTTATTGAGTCATTCAATCATCATAGCACGCAATAGGTTTACAATTATCAACAAAATATTAGAGGAACAACAACAAAAACAGGAACGTTTGGTCTTTTTATCGATCTTCAGCTTCAGCGCAGTTTATAATACAGGAAGAAGAAGAAGACGTTGCGGCCAAAGTAGCTGTGTACAACCCTCGGCTAGTCTCGTTATAGCAACGCCATGAAGATGAAGCAACGCCAGTCTTCAGCAAAATGTTTGAAATAAATACTCTTTTGGATTATCGATTGTTATCGATTTTTGCCAATCGATAAAAATCGATAATTTTTTTCTGTGAGTTCGATTGTTATCGATTACCGATATCAATCGATAGCATTCGGCGAATGATATCGATTGATTTCCGATATCGATTTCTATCGATTGACTACGCCTGGCCAATATAATCAATTGCGGAAGTAGTCAAATTTGAAGGTCGCTACTAACGTTCTCTTAAACGACAGCCACAAGTGCGACGAGAAAAGAAAATACAGCTCTAAAAAGCAAGACATACCTGTTCCCCTCTATAAACCACATATTCGGCAAACGACAGCCCTTCTGAGCTGGGACGTCCTATAACTGAATGATGACCAGGAGGGGCGTGCGCCATCTTGACCGCGGAAAACTGGTAAAATAGCTTACCAAGGGCCACACGACATAAAAGAAGTTGCCTGCCAGTCAAAAAACATTGCGTTGATAAGATACGAACTAGAAAGAAGAGTACTTTTGTATTGGATTCAAATTCACATCAGGTGGCATTCATGTAAATCGTTAATTATATTGATTACTTATAAACTGCGCCAAAAGAAGTGTGGCTTTAGTATCCCAATCAGTGTTGCAATTAATTAAGGAAAACCTTGAGTGAAGCGGAGAATGAGATATTTTGGTTTTACAATTCTGGAAGGGTGATCTATGCAAGGTGTTTTTCTTGGTTGTGAGCGGGTACCATAATTCGCCCAGGTTATCTACTGAATCAAAATGATGACTCGTAAAAGGAGCTAGTAATGAACTGAAACAAATCTCTCTTAATATCCCAGCTACTTGATCACAATATTAATTCTCCCAAACCTGCCAATACTTTTAGACATTAACAGTAGCCTGCGCGGCGGAAGTTCGAAACTCAACAGCCGGAAGAAGGGGGAAAATCGAGCGCCCTTCAGCGGGCAGACAAGCTCTACATTTCGAGTGACAAGCGAGGCGAGCCAGTGAGGGGCCATTGTCCTTTCGCTTCCCCGCTCGCGAATTGTTTATGGAGAGCTTTCCCGCAGGCTCGGCGCTCTTTTGCGCAGTTGATCTAGCTGGGAAATACTGTGCTCCACAAAATACCTCTAAAGTTCAGGTTATACTTCTCTATGTAAAATATCCTTAAATAACATCAGCTGTTAGCCTCTGCAGCTTACAAAGGAGTGAATCGAGAGATAAACATCGCGTCGTTCTTTCGTTCATTCGCCAAAAGAAAACCCACACGTGCAGGTAATTAAGTGCAAGCTAAGGGGTATTAAAGTGCCCCCAGGGATGAGCAATCGATTCAAACATCCGAGTGAAACAGATATAATTAGAGGCTTCCTATGAAATCAAGCTGTTAGCTCTCTTCTTCTGTAAACATATTTATCCCACAGTCTTTAGTTTATGATCCGCTGAAGTGTGAAACAGAAGGAAACAGACTTGAAGAAAGGAGAAAGTGGACTTCAGTCGCCATTTTCTAGCTAAGCTACTATGTCACCAATTGTTTGCATTAGAGACAAAAGCAAAATAAACCATAGAACCATAATGATCCCATGTTGTAACCAATCACTATACAAGTGCACTGACAGTAAATGGAAAACGGCAAAAAGTTGAATATACTGTTACATGTTCTTGTAGTTTCACGCAATTCTTTATACATACGAATTTTTTGAGCTGTTTTTATCTTAGCCTGTGTACAGATGTCCCCCCTCCCTCAGAAAAAAATCGGGAGAAGAGACGATTTTTTTCTGAGGGAAGGGGGACGTCTATACACAGGCTATTTTTATCTGCTCATGTTGTGTTTTGAGAAAGTCTCAACTTGGTTAAACTATTTCAAGAAATGTCCAATTTTGACCTCGGTTGAAGAGAACCACTGGCCATTCAGATCTTTAAATAAGTGAGTTATGCATTGACATGCCGGAAGTGAAAACTAAGTTAATTAATTAGAAGTTCCCACTCTCAGAACTCCGCTCCACAACGTCATTGTACAGTTTTTGTTTAAGGCAAAAGCTTTGCCGTAGTGCCAGCCCTGCATTCAGCTTAGCCTGCGTGGCAGGCGTTTGAAAGGGAAGGAAAAGGACGTTTTAGGCGCAAGAGAAAGGCGAGGCGCGCGTTTCTCTCGCGCCTAAAACTCCCTTTCCGGCCTTCCTTTTCAAACGCCTGCCACGCAGGCTACATTCAGCTTGACTATCAGCGTCATTTGTTGCTTAACTGAAGAAGCTCGTTAATGTTTATTTTGAGAACCACGCCAGGATGGAAAAGTGATCAAGCAGATGGCGAGAAGTTCCAATCATACCTGATCTCACACTGCCGATTCAGATAAAAAATGAAGGTGTCTACCTTTAGCTCGGCAAATTGGCTGCGTGGCAAAAGTTCACTTGAATGATAGGGCAAGCACGGTTAGGGTGAGGGAAGAGAAAAATGGTTAGCCTGTATGCAGACGTCAGGAACCCTGCTATAAAACCGGGCAGGGGGCAGCTAGCAGCTCTCATACTGCTCCCTTGTCATGCAACAGCGTTTTCAGGGGCCAGTTTAATTTTAAGGCATTTTTCCCGCGAGAAAAGGTAAATGGTGTCTCCTTCGCAGCCGTTTTTTGACGTGGTGACATAAAAAATGGCTACGTAGGAGACTGAGGAAAATAGAAGCTACTCTCCGCCGGTCTTTGTCCGGATTCGAAGGTAAGTTATGAAAAGCTGAAGAGACTGCTAAACGTCATTAACACATCAAAATTTTAAGTTCTGTAAGTCTGCTAACTGACTTTTTGGACGTTGACGATATTCTAAGTTCGCTCTAGGAAAAAAATTCTAAGAATAAACAAGTCTTTGAAAACGGCACGACACGAGCACTTGAAAGCAGCTAACTCCTTGGTTATGGGCTCCTGGAGAGGTCACTTTTGCTGCACATATGAACCAAATTGAAGGAAAATGGGGGTGGCTGCTTTTAAAATGGTGGTAGGGCTACTGTGTCCCCAACTTTCGCGCTTCTTTCACACGGGAACCGTGTTTGATGCACCGGCTCTACCGAATAATTGCCATAAACATCTTATTATACATTACTCTATTGTTTTTGTATAAACATTTCATCAGTTCCTGATGTGAACGCGAACTTCGGATACCTGTGCCATTGACTGACTGCAAGTCCAAAATTAATCAGTTCTGTTTTTTTTCACCATAGTTAACCAATTGACTTCATTTCCTTATTCTTTTTTTTTTGTTCATTGTGTTTCGCTTCGCTTGGATTCATGTCAGCTTTTCAATTACAATATACTAGCTATATCACGGAAAAACACTGAGTCCTATCCGGTTACACTCTGCTTAGCAAACCGCGCCCATAATCATATGATCTCACGGAGACATCGTTTGCATGACTGCTCTAGATTTACCATGGATGTTCAACAGCTCTTTACAGTTCTTAAAAAGGAAGCTGAATGCCCACTTTGTTTGGACACAGTCAATAATCCCAAGACCTTGCCATGTATTCACTTATTCTGCCTCGAGTGTATTCTGCCTCGAGTGTCTTGACAAACACGCAAATTTTGCAAGAAGAAACCTTCAAGCGACAGTCAAATGCCCGGTTTGTCAGACATCTTTTCAAATTCCTGAAGGAGACTCGTTCAAGAATGTACCTGCATCGTACCATCTCAACCGATTGGTGGATGTTCTCGCTCTAAAAGATGGCGGCACACAGGCCTAGAAATGCAGTAGTTGTGATGAGAACAGTACTGCTTCCTCTTACTGTTTTATCTGCCAAATATTCCTCTGTACTTCTTGTTTTGAAGCTCATCAGCGCCTGAAGACCACAAGAGGTCATCGCAATGTTGTGATAGAGAAATTAAATGTGCAAGATGTTCAAGAGTTGATCCACAGACCCGTCATGTGTTCACAGCAATATCACGAAAATCAGCCGCTGGAATTTTATTGCGAAGAATGCAAAGTTCTTATTTGCCAGAAATGCTGTATAGTAAGCCATAATCGACACACCATAACAGACACTCAGAAAGCCGCACAAGTACAGAAGATGCAAATGAAGGACGCTTTGGAGAAAGTGAAAGCGGAAACTGTAATTTACGAGAACAAAAGAAGGAAACAAACCGAACTAATGGACAAAACCAAAAATGAGATTTTGTCAGCGGAAAAGAAGATGACAGATGCCGTGGAGGAACGTATCCGTGAATTACGGAAACATGAAAGGGACATGAAAGCCAAATTTGCTGAAATTTATGAAGCGCAACAAAAACATCATGCGACACAACTAGAAAACTTTGAGTTGGTTCTGACTCAGCTGCAAAGCTGCATTGAGCGAGGTGAAAGCGCACTAGAAAGAAACGTCAGCGCCGAGATTCTTCAAACAAATCAGATCATTGTTGGACGCTGTGAAGAACTTTTGAATGTAACAAAGCCTGACATTTATAAACCACCACACGTGCATTACATGGTAGAAAATCATCTGAATCCGGGTTTTGATCGAATCGTGGTTAGTAATACAGATCCTGTACTTTCGTTAGCGGAAGTGGACAATCAAGAACTTGTCAAAGAAAAAACGGTGTCAAATTTCATCATTGTAACCAGAGATTCAGATGGAAAGCAGTGTTATCATGAAGCTGATGAAATAAAAGTCAACATTATAACCCCAGCAGATGATCAACTGGAAACAGAGATAAAAGACACAAAAGACGGCGAGTACACAGTAACATACACACCACAGTGTGTTGGACAACATAGAGTAGAGATCCAAGTTAATGGACAGCCGCTGACTGGTAGTCCCTGGGTTGTTCAGGTGATTCCGCATCAGTATCAATTTGCGTTTCAATTTGGATCAAAGGGAAAAGAGCAAGGACAGTTTCACACGCCTTGGGATATTGCTGTGCATGATAAGAGAAGGACACTTGCTGTTGCTGATTTCAACAATGAGAGAGTTCAGATGTTTGATTTTGACGGGAATTTCCTCAGAGAGATAGCACTGGAAGCTCAAACGTCTTCGGTGGCTCTTACCGAGTCTGGTGACCTCCTTAGCTTTGTCCTTCGTGCCTACAATAAACTTCCCCTGTACACTGACGGTGGTCAGTTCATTCGATCAGCGACGAACATGTGAAGTTACCATTGTACATATCTGTTGGGAGTGATGGTCGCATAATCACATGTGACATCAATGACAAAACAATCAAAGTTCTCAGCCCTGATGGGAAAAACCTTCTTCATTCGTTCAGTGCTCCTGGTTGTGATGCTGATCCATGGTGTGCTGTTTATAAGCAGGACAAATTTTTTGTCTCTTATCCAAAAGCTAACCGTGTCATGGTATTTAACAGCGCAGGGGAGTATCTATATGACATTGGCAATGAGGGATCTTTTGACGGGCAGTTAAGGTTTCCCATTGATCTCGCTATCGACAAGTTTAACCGTCTGATCGTTTGTGATAGGAATAACGATAGACTGCAACTGTTTACACTTGACGGAAAATATGTCGCTAAGGTAGCCGGGAGTTTTTTTGACCAAAATAGTGTGCTTATTGGTTGTGCCGTGTCTGATACTGGACATTTGTTTGTTACGGATCACAACAAACACTGTATTTATGTTTTCAACTAGTAAGCGCTATGTGCAAATTCAACACCTTCTGAACAGGGATCTTTAAAATATTGTTTCTCAGTTATTAATTTAGTGTTGATTATTGTTTAATACTCTTGATTAATACAGTTTGGTGGCTGAGCGTTAAAACTTGAACTGAACATATGTACATATACATGCCGTGAGCTGATTATATTTTACCGTGACGTTTCATTTTGCTGTAAATTTATTTTGTTTTGCCGTTGCACTCGTGGACCGCCGTAGGATAATCAATTTGCTGATTTAATTGATTAGATAGGGAAATAGACCTTTTTTGAACAGTAAGAGAGACAAAGAATACGCAGAGTCGTGTTTTTTGGCGAATGAGGAAATTGACATGAGCGTCGGACAGAAAAGTCGAAAAATTTACTAAGACATTTACTGGATGGTAAATGCAGTTAATGGAACATGAAGTCCCAGGAGGAGTAGGCTAAGGGAGCCTGCCTCAATATATGCTCGGTTGTATCTTGAAAGCCTTATTTATGAATGAAAGCACGCTAAGATACAAACAAAAGCTGTTCATGCCTGAAACCTTCGTACTAAGGGACGGACCATTATAAAAGTTATTGGGGGGTGCGGTGGGCGGGCGAAGAACAAAAAAGATATTCGCGCAAGGGAAAATTAAATGGAAAAAAAAATTCATGTATGCCAATTAACCCTAAAAAATATTCACGCTAAGGCCTGAAAAAAATTCATACGAGGAATCTGATAACGAAAAAAATTGAGGGCTAAAAAATAACCCCCAAAAATGGTCCGTCCCTAATTTGTTATCCTGTCATCATATTTTTTCTTAGCAAATTTTCCCTCTCTCCAAGGCCCTACTATTCATGGCTAGACTTTTATCATGATAAGACTACAAAATTTTCAGGGAGTTAAAACAACCCCTCATTACAGTGGAGTTATTTTTCAAGTTATTTTAACCCAAAAGGAGTTTAAAGAACTCTAATTTCAGGAGTAAAAGTCCACAGACTTTGGGAGTTAAAATAACCCCAAAAAAGAACTCTTTTTTACTCCAGGAGTAAAATTAACCCCAAATTCGGAGTTAAATTTCAGTTAAAATAACCCCAAAAAAGAGTAAAAAGAACCTTTTCAGGAGTAAAATGACCCCAAAATTTTTACTCCATTTTCCTGGACCTAAAATTTTTACTTTTTGGAGTTATAATAACTCCCTAAAATTACGGTGTATATTATATATGTAAATTATTTTTATGAAATGTCATTTTTTATCATAGATATTTTTCATTAAAGAAAAAACCAGGGAGGAGCAGCGTGGAAGTCAACAGAAGTAAGTTTATTATTTATTTTATTTCTTGTTTTCTTTTCACTCGCTTTAGAAAGGACTTCCGGTTTTTTTTTTTTTCCGAGGGGAACCGGTTCTAGTTTTGAAAGGTTCGAGTTTGCGCGGTATCTTTCTCCTTTCAACGGCTCTCTTCGTGAATGGAGAGGTTTTGATCGGAGCGTGTGCGAAACGGGGACTAATATGAGCCGAGTTTGGCAAGAAATTCTATTTCCACGGTTTGCAAAGTGCCTGGGACATCATTAAGTCCGGGAAGGCTTAAATGGGCGCTCGTTGCTCAAAGAACCGAGCTTCGGGCACAATCCGAGAGACCATCCGGTGGATGGTGTATAACGTCTCTGCCCAGCTCTGCACACGGTGAAGAAGTCTCCAGCAGGCAATAAGGGGCAAATTGGTTAGTTTGGACATAAGAAAAGAGGGCCAACGAAGTTTTTGGCCGTGATTTTTGCCTTGCTGGAGACTTATAAATTGTGTTGTTATTGCCAGGATGTAATGTGTCCCGCACGAGTTGAACACGGATTTCCCAGAATGCACTGCGAGAAAGGTTAACAACATGTTTAATATTTGACCATTACAGTGAGACTGTTCTGTTGTTGTGTTTCAGTTTCTACGACGGAGGTGCTGATCTTTGAATAAGCGAGCAACAACGGTGAGTAGCAGGCTTTTTGCCAGGAAAGGTTATGTTACAAAGTCGTGAAAGTGTAGTTGAAGTCAAAGTCTGTGGTTTCGTATAGCGAAGGTTTATTTTTGGTCATGTGTCGAGCGACTCTGGAAATTTACTGTGTCCAAAAAGAGCCGCCGTCCTACTGCACAGGCTGAATTGTCGTTCATTTTCAATTTATTGTTGGCATTGCAAGCTAAATGCTGATCGGATCGCGGAAGAGTAACTATTTTTCCTCAAAGCATGTTAAAGTTCCCGCGCTATAGCACCGTCGCGACGACGAGCGCCGTTTATGCTTGATTGTCTGGAATGTTCGGTACAATGTTTTTAATCTGCTTTATGCACCGGTACGGGCGATTATAAAACCATTGCGGGATGAAACTGATCTAGGGAAAATGATGTAAAAGAGATATATTACTTTTTAAACATGTGTTGAGGAATTTTCTTTAAACAAGGTTTTCCTTTTGTCCTTTTCTTTCAGATGTGGCCGTTGGTTTTACTCGCCCCCTCGGAGCTGGAATATTTACTCTCTGAAATGTTTATATTATCTGTGCTCTGCTGTGGTCAAACACGAAGAAAGCGAAGCGAAACGTCTTGTAAGATAACGTTAATTTAAAACTATTTGCTTGACCAGTGTTTAGTCTTCGAAAATCGCCTGTATTGAAACTACATCTCTGTATTTCTCACCTCCTGACCCGTCTTTTGAAATTCAATCCTACGCTCAGTACGGCGATGTAATTGATATGTAACGCAACGTTATTTGGTATCCTGCCCAGAAGTCCCTCAAACGTTAACCCTCAACAAACCGTACTTCTTGTTTGTAACCTTTATCCTTATTTAACCCTAAGCCTTAGCTCAACTTTAGCTATCCACCCTAACCAGCTTAACGTAACACCCTTTTCCTGACAAGGCGAACGTTTAACTCAGTGGATCAACTCATGTGTTATGACCATTGAAATCAGTTGAGACTGCTCGTCTAACCCTAACCCTCCAACCTAACCCTAACCTATTCCTAACCCCCTAACCTCCAACCTAACCCTAACCTATTCCTAACCCTAACCTCCAACCTAACCTAACCTAACCTATTTCTAACCCTAACCTATCCTCGACCTAATCTGATTCTAACCCTAACCTATCCCTAGTCCTTACCCTAACCTAACCCTAACCCCAACCTTAACCTTAACCCTAAAACCCTAACCCTAACTCTTCCTCCCCCCCCCCCCCCCTGCTCTTACATTTAGTAGTATACAGTAAGGACTAAGTAATAGGTGCTTTTCGAAGTTAGCCTCAAAAGGCTCTTATAAATTTTCTGTTTCTTGGAAATTAAGCTGTTTAGGTTCTCAAACATTCGAGGTTCTTATTTTCTTAAGGAAAAAAAAACTTTTTGTAAGAATGTTGGAGGTTTTAAATGTTTGTACAAAATATGCATGTTGTTATGTCTAAATGACTGCAATTTAAGCCAATAGAAACTTTTTTGCCATTAGAATGATTAGTGGACTTTAAGAACTCCATAGCGATCTGTTTTAACATTTCTACTTCATCTGGTTCTTTCAAAATCTTAGCCTGAAGAATTCTGGTTCTTATCTGTGCCTCTCCTCTGTGTCACTAACCTGACATAATAATGAGTGACACGTGCATGTTTCACTGTACAGTATTTTTCAGATGAAATAAAATACTGATTTGGATTGTTTTTGTTGTATTGGGGGCAATTAGAGACTTAGTGAAAACTATACACTGTAATTTTCAGGGAGTTATAATAACTCCTCTAGTGGGGCTAATTTAACTCATTACAGTGGAGTTATTTTTCGTGGAGTTATTTTAACTCCAAAAAGGAGTTTAAAGAACTCTTTTTCAGGAGTAAAAGTGACCACAGATTTTGAGGAGTTAAAATAACCCCAAAAAAGGAGTTATCCTGTACCTAACATTTTTACTCCACTTTCAGAGTTAAATTAACTCCAAAAAGAGTGAAAACAACCCCTGTAAGGAGTACAAGTAACCCCATTTCGGAGTAATTTTAACTCCAAGACTGGGAGTAAAAAGAACTCTTTTTCAGGAGTAAAAATGACCCCAAATTGGGAGTTAAATTAGGAGTTAAAATAACCCCAAAAAAGGGGTTATCCTGTACCTAAAATTTTTACTCCATTTTTGGAGTTATAATAACTCCCTAAAAATTACGGTGTATATTATATATGTAAATTATTTTTATGAAATGTCATTTTTTATCATAGATATTTTTCATTAAAGAAAACCAGGGAGGAGCAGCGTGGAAGTCAACAGAAGTAAGTTTATTATTTATTTTATTTCTTGTTTTCTTTTCACTCGCTTTAGAAAGGACTTCCGGTTTTTTTTTGTCCGAGGGGAACCGGTTCTAGTTTTGAAAGGTTCGAGTTTGCGCGGTATCTTTCTCCTTTCAACGGCTCTCTTCGTGAATGGAGGGTTTTGATCGGAGCGTGTGCGAAACGGGGACTAATATGAGCCGAGTTTGGCAAGAAATTCTATTTCCACGGTTTGCAAAGTGCCTGGGACATCATTAAGTCCGGGAAGGCTTAAATGGGCGCTCGTTGCTCAAAGAACCGAGCTTCGGGCACAATCCGAGAGACCATCCGGTGGATGGTGTATAACGTCTCTGCCCAGCTCTGCACACGGTGAAGAAGTCTCCAGCAGGCAATAAGGGGCAAATTGGTTAGTTTGGACATAAGAAAAGAGGGCCAACGAAGTTTTTGGCTGTGATTTTTGCCTTGCTGGAGACTTATAAATTGTGTTGTTATTGCCAGGATGTAATGTGTCCCGCACGAGTTGAACACGGATTTCCCAGAATGCACTGCGAGAAAGGTTAACAACATGTTTAATATTTGACCATTACAGTGAGACTGTTCTGTTGTTGTGTTTCAGTTTCTACGACGGAGGTGCTGA